ATTTTCGAAACCGACCAAATCCTTTTAAAGTCTTGATTTTGACATCCGGGACGTAAATCAACTGACCGAAATCAGGGAAGAAATGAGGATGTGGGATTAGGTTATGCCTATTTTATTGGCTCTGTCTCCCCAAAAAAGATTTTAGAGAGATATCCCTGCCCTGGTCACTGCTCTGTCCGGAAATACTTTGAAAAATTTCCAAGTCATGGGAGACCGCGGAAAATTTACCACGATTCCGAAAGTCGACTTGGTCTTTGGCACATTGGGATGTGACGGAATTGATTTGATGGTGTTTAAAAACCTGGGAGTGACATTTTCCGCTACACATCCAAAAGTCGAGCCAATTTTTGGATGCTTCATTGGTCAGCCACCAGCTGGTCACAAAGTAGGTTTGCGGCTAGTCGCTAGTCTCCGAACTGGCAAGCCGCCGACTCAAAAGCCGGCTAGTCAGCTAGTCTCCGAATTGGCAAGCCGCCGACTCGAAAGCCCGGCCTTAAGCGCAGCCAACATTGAACAAGGAGCGAACCTAATGAAAGTTACCTACCTGCTTGCCTGTGGACTATCGGTATGTCCTGATTCTGTCTTGCTGCCTAAATGTACTTTTTATGCTACCGCCGCAAAACAACAGCATTTGCCGTTGAAGTGATTCTGCCAGCCATCAGGAAGGACGCCATGAATTCAATAACCTGGCCTGAGCTAAGGAGCTGACGTCCCGCTGGTCTTGCAAACGTGTGCAGATGCACGCATGTTCAGTCATGCCAAATGGCAGGACGCTGCCACCGGCCGTTTTTCGGTGCCTGCCATTGGCCATTGGCGCCTGCTCGTGGGCGAGAGCTAGATGGAGGAGGCTTTGCGTAATGCGTGTGACGTTCGCCCCACGGCCACGTGCAGAGAGAGAGAGAGTCGTTGGTTCAGACTACTCTTCTAGTGCATGCTTTTGTCAGTCAGCAGCATTCGGTATGAAAGACTGAGACGGTGCTTTACCTGGCATGTTGAATATGTCGTTTATACCTCCCCACCAAAAGACGTTGATTTCCCGCGTACTGACGGAGCTACTGACTGATTTCCCACCCACTGCTTTCTGCCTTCTAACGGTACGGCGAGATGCAACTTTCCAATTAATTTGATGTGAAATTGACCACTTTGTGTTTAAGACCAGTTTTAAGAACAAGGTCCCAGCTTTTGAGCACTTCCACCGGGCTATAACGGCCTCAACTTTTTCTTCCATCACAAGCTAACTTTTTGAACGGAATTGGATTCGGGGGGCAAGTTTGTGCTAGTTTGGCTTCCAAGATAAGACTTACTGAAGGGGGTCGAAAGGCTTGGACAATGGTGGCAGACGCAGCGAGGTGCCTGTGAAAATCGGGAACGTGGCATGCAGCTGAAGCCAAGTGTTTAACAAACCGAGCTTACGCTCATTGGAAAGCACATGCGGTTGGCACAAAACAGTAATGTACATATGACACCAAGATAAATAACTTTGATAATCCCAGGATGGTCACAGCAGTGGTCGTATGCTATGTGATACAGCATTTTTGGCCGGAAGGGGCTCAGTTCGGGTCCTGTTCAGCGCCGGTATCATTTCACTCTGCTGATTTCCAGGCGCATCACTTGGCATTGGACGTGAAAATGTGATGTGACGTGGAAAAAATTGTTTTTTTCGGGCCAGGTGAAGTGAACCATCTCGATGTTGCACCGGTATTGCCCTGGGCTGATATCCATGTCGCGTCTCCCTGGGCATATATCGGCACCGGGGTGTCCCTTGGCGTCTATTTATCATGTCAGGATTTCCCTGGGCATCTGTTTATCATGCTGGGGTTTCCCTGGGCGTCTGTCGACGTGGGGTTCCCCTGAGCGTCTATCTCGCTGCCACCGCGCGTTCTGTGTGGGAGTGCACGGCATGACCGACCCTGTCGTCCCCCCGCGCTCCTCCCTACGCTGTTCTCGTGCTGCCAGGTTCTTACGTGTGCAAGATCAAGACCTCGCACCGGAAGGGCCCGCCATCGTTCATTGATGACGCGCTGCAGCAGTTTCACGGAATACAAGAGGAAGACGGCCGGCCTGCAGGGCACGCTGCCCCACCGCGGCAACGCCCCGATGACGCCGAATACGTGCAGGTGGGCGCACACACCGGCCGGCGGGCACCACGGGCAGGGGGCCGCCTGTCGTGCGGATGCCTCGAAGAGCAGCTGATGCACGCAGGCGCCGCAAGGGCGCCGCTTGTGGCGGCCAGGGCCTAGGCCCGGTCCTACTCAGTGTACCGCGTGACACCAGTGGCTAAGGGCACCACGGATCAGAGGTGGAGTTGCCAGCTGTTGTTTGATCGGGTCGGCTTGGCCGGTCCGCAGGCGATGTCTGGTGGTTCTCAGAGTAGCGCTCCAGTCCTTCCGTCTTGCACGAGGGAGACGCCTGTTGCGACCGTTGCTACCATCTCCTGCCCCCGTGTCCTTCCCTTCCGCCGTGTAATTGCACAAATTCATACACTTCGTTTGCTCCACTTATTCGCATTCTGCCTCACTGTTTCCCTTTAGCAGACGCCGTTCAGGCTGTGGACCGCCGTTGACGTGTGTGGCTGCGACGGCAGGGTGACCACTCGCTGCGCTCGGGGTCCACGGACTCTGTGAACAGCGTGGGCAGCGGGCACGGGGCGGCCGGCGGCGGTGGCGGCGGCGGTCTGCCCGGCGGCCCGGCCGAGCTGGCCGAGGAGGCGGCCGAGCCGGCTCGTCGGGTCACCGAGACGCTCTCAGAGGTGAGGGCGCCCGTCACTGCTCCGCCAGCCTCGTGTCACACTCGAGACCGAGCCAGCCACCTAAGCAGCTGGGTATGGCGTAAGTCCCCCGCAGTGTTTCACAGCGACCACCGGCGGTGTGTACAAAGTCCCCCAGCAGTGTTTCACAGCGACCACCGGCGGTGTGTACAAAGCTTCTGACGTGGAGTTGTTTTTCTTGCGAAGCGAATGACGATACCGTTGGCTGCTGCTCTGAACGCGGTTTGTGTCTTCTGATCAGCTTGCTGTGGTTACATATGTCCGTCACCTGTATCAAGCGTCGGCGCATGGCTGGTACGACATTGCCACTGTTCGTCGTAAAGGCGTGAAGATGTTCGTTGTTCCGAATCTTGGCACGTTTGCCGTCCGACCAGTTAAGTCACCATGCACCGTGCTCGCTACGTTACAGAGCAAGCAGCGAGAGGCGCATCAGCCGATCATCTCAGCACGGGGCTGCGTGACCACTCACAGCCGTCACTGTATACCCTCCTCGTTCTGTGTGGGGCCAGCGGTGTGTCGTCCTGAGTCCAGGCTTTTCGGAGTGTCTACGGTGTCCTGTCTGGGGTTAGCAAAGCGCAGAGGAGCTCCGCACTGTATTCATGCTTCCACCGGCGTGGCTGGGTGAACGTCATGTCCCTGGCGTCCACCGAAAATGTCTGCCCTCACCGGGTTTCTAAGCCGGCGCCTTGTCCGCCCTGGTGTGGAAGTGCCTCGTCTTCTGTCGCTACGGTGGTACCTGTCAGCGCCCGTGTTGTAATGTTGTGTTTTTGCATCGGCGGCTCGTAGGGAAGCCTTGCATGCGATGGCGGACTGACGTGGCCATCGCGTTACCATTGGTCGACGTCGGTTTGTTCCGAACACTGCCTCCGCAAACGCTGCTGCTGCGCCTCCGCGTCAGCGAGAGTCGAGCTTTGTGTTCAATATCTGCCCCGATGTCTGCCTTCGCAAACGTCGGACGGCTTTACGAGGGTCGGTGATCATTCTTGATGGTGCTTTCGAAAGCAACATCATCGTGTAAAATCATCCCCGATGCACGATGAGCCCGTTGTTCGTGCTATCAGTTACTTAGCGTCGTTGCTGAAGCTGATGTATATGCTCTCATTTGTTATTGTACCATGTCACGATCCCATTGATGACATCATTGCGTTTACTAGTGATGTGTCGGTGTAATGATCGCATTATCAGGGACTCTGGCTATTCCACAAGCTTCAGCCTTTTTCCTTCCTTGTATTGTCGGCCTTATGAACGCAGCTCCTCTTTTCTGTATCAATTGAAAATTTACAGATATGTTGAACATCTCAGTCCTTATTTTTTGTTGCATGAAGCAGTTCCTTATTTTACCTGAGCTATGTCCAATTATTCCTGCCATGCTTATTTTCCCGGAAACACCAACGTTTCCCTGAATACTGGCTGCCAAGGGGTACGTCACACAAGTTGGGGAGGGCAGCGAAAATGACTAAGACTATCCTCAAGATACGAAACACGAGCTTTTCCCCGGATTTGGCCCCGCCTTCATCTCAAACTTTGGTTTCGGGACCCCCTCCAACTCTAAATAGGGAACTACACCCATGCTGGCTGTCAACCAGCAACTATGCCATGTGGTCCGAGGCCGCAGCAACATTGTCTTTTCCCAGGCACCGCATACGGTGCCGGTCCTGAGCGCCAGCCTGATTAAGTCTGAATTTGCCGCCGAGACAGCCGCAAACACGATGCCCTCGACCCTGCGGATGTAAACTAACATTCCGTCCGGATCGTCACAATATTTCAGGGCCGATAACCTTGTCGCTTCCCCCGCTTTCCATCCGCAGACCCGCGCTCCCGCTCGCTCCATGTGTATGGACGGCTGTCCCGCGCCCTGCCGCCGCCGAACCACCCGCCGCTGACGACCGGCCCCCGCTCCCGGCCGCCGTCGCCGTCAGCGCTGATGACAGACTCCCGCGCCGCCACCGCCAGCGCTGACGACCGATTCCCGCTCCCGGCCGCCGTCGCCGTCAGCGCTGACGACCGACCCGTTTCAGCCGTCAACGCCGATCGCGGTGCCCAAGATCGTGCAGATCCCGGCCACGCCGCAGTCGACGCCGTGCGACCGTCAGCTGTCGACGGTGGCCGAGTCGACCGAGCCCGACGGCGCCGGCCCGTCGTCGCCGGCGGCGGCGTCGGCCGGGCTGCCGCGCTCGGCGTCGGCCGACGGCGAGCCGGCCGAGCACGCCGGCGGCGCCTTCCGCTCGCGCGCCATGAGTGGCGACACGGCGCGCATGGTCCGCAGGTAAGACGCTGGCCCGTCGGGCAGGGCGTCGGCGGCGCTGAGAGGCCGGGCCGAACGGCGACCAGGGCGCCGTGGAAGGCGGGCTGAACACCGTCTCGGAGGCCCGGCGACGGATGTGCTGGGTTTTCGCAGGGACCAGGACCGGACATGAGCTGGGACCGATTCTTGACCGAACCGCAGGCGGGGTGGCGTGGCTGGATGCCGCCCGGTGACCCTACGTAGCGAGGCATCAGGTGAAGGGACTGGCCAGAGGGGGCGTGGCCCTGTGGCCGTCGGTGCTGGACGCCTCAGATTAGACAACAATGAATGTGGCCGCGGGGAGCCGTCCCCGTGCTGCGGCCGCGCGGACGTGGCAACTCATTCCGTATCCGACCGGGCTGCTGTCAGCACTGGAACGCACGTGATCACACCGCTGCTTGTTTGACCCCCGTCTCCGTATCCCGTACCTCAGTCGCATTGCCGATCGTGCTTTCATCTGCACAGTGCGTTGCTGGGCCTTAGCTGGCAGTGATTTTGTGCGGTCTCTAATGAGGTCAGCGCTTTTCCCAGAGGGCTATACGTACATCGATAGATAGGGGGCTCTGCGCCAGAACTGTTTTGGTGGAGGGGCCGGCCAATGTACGAAAATGCTAATTTTGGTGTGCATCTCCTAACGTCGGTTGCAAGCTCACATGCATAGCGTTTATGCGATGATATGAAGCTTCTAGAATTGTTTGGCGCTCAAAGCTATATATTTTTGAGAGCTTGCGGGCTAAGATCGTCCTGTTAAACGCCAACTAGTTATGTTTCGAAGCGCGCAACAGTGTGTTCCTATTGCGTGTATTCAGGTTATGAACTTGGCTCAAGTTTGATCTCATACGCAAGCTACTCATTGCCGCGCACAATGCGTGCACATCGATGATGTCCACTCTGACACACGGTGGTTATGCTCAGTTCCGTGGAAGTTGACTACTTGACAAAGGACGGGTGAGATTTTTTTACCGTAGTAGATGCTGTCGATGGACCGGCACCGTTGATCAGTGTGGATTGTTACCGCATGATCTCCGTATGTCTTAAAACCTCCTTGTCCTTGTATCTAATATACTGTACCTGTCCTCGCTGTGCAAAGCACTGGCGATCCTGTGTTGCTGCTCTCGCTCCACGCTATACATATTATTATTCATCATCATCACGTGCCGTATTGGTCACGTGTCCGCACTGTCGTCTCCCAAAGTTGCCGTTTACGAACGGGACTCCCGGTAATGTGCTTGCCGCCTGCTCGTGGTTTGGACGCAGTACGGAGTCGGCCAGGCCCGTCGCTGTTTGCTCGCTGCCCGCGCTGCACGCCGGTTACAAGCGCCAGCCACCAGCCACTGCTGACCTTTGACATCGCAGCACCGCAGCTTGCGCAGTCCGATGTGTGTTTATGTCGACCTAGATTCGCGAGACAGCGATACACTTTTGGTATCGTATTTCGGCGAGATGGGAAGTGGATATGTCTGAACCACGTGTTTGCAAATATTCGGCTTTGATTCGCTATTAGACGATTCGATGCGCTCGTCTCTCTTCTTTGAAAAGCTGAGCGGCTAAATGGTTTCGCGGACGGCCAGAAGCTATGCATTATTTCGTTAATCAGGTCTAGTTCATTATATTAACAGTGACTGTTCATCGATTGGGTGCTGCGTTTGTCAACAGGCGTCCAGACCAATGTTGAGATCGACACAGCTGCTCATTTGTCCTCAGGCTATGACCGAACGAACCTGCTGAGGAAGAGGCCATGGTTCGACCTTACCTGATCTGAACTTACCTGCGTACAGCTATCTCACCAGAGCGAGTCTGCGCCAGGACGAGATAATAACTTGACCTGACCTAACCTGGCCTGACCTGACCTGCGTGCCGGTACCTCGCCAGGACGAATCTTTATCAGGACCAGCTAATGACTTGGCCTTACCTGACCTGACCTGACCCGCATGCTGGCTCTTCACCAGGACGAGTCTGCATCAGGATCAGATGATGACTTGACCCGACCTGACGTGACCTGACCTGCGTGCCGACACCCCGCCAGGACGAGTCTGCATCAGGACGAGGAGATGCGGAGCCGGGCCATGTCGGTCGGCTCGTCGCTGGCCCGCCGTCGGCTCAGCTCGCTGGACCACAACTACACGATGCTCTTCCAAGTGGGCAAGCTGGAGCTGCAGATGATCAGTCCCGACAACAAGGCTGTCAAGCTGCACAAGTACTTTAAGGACATCTCCCAGATCACTCAGGTACGTGCTTACCACTGGGAGTTAGGCTGGCGTCGGCCACCAGACAACGTATTTTTTGTCTATTTGTGCACATTGTATGTTGAATGCGAAGTTTGTTCTCAGCACACCTTCCATGCCGCACACCGCTGTGCAGTGCTGGACACTGTACGTCACCCGAGCGCAGGGAACGGACACACCGGAGCACAGACTGTGACTTAGATGTGTGTTAGCGTCTTGAGTTGGCACGTGTGTGCCGTGCTGTGAAGCAAATGCAGACAACTGTTTGGTTCTGAATGGTGGGATGGGATGTGCCGTTTGAAACACAGCCGCAGCGCTGCAGCATCACGCCATCCAGCCGCGCGGTGTGCGTGGCGGGGGTCGGTCGCAGCCGGATCATCTCAGCCAGTTTTCACGCGCAGGGGCAGAAGAACAGCGACCACTTCGGCTTCATCTGCCGCGAGACGCCGGCGGCCGCCGCGGCGCCAGCCGGGTCTGAGGGGTCGCAGGAGGCGCCCCGGGCCGGCCCCGGCGCCGCCATGCCACCCGCCGCCGGCCACAAGAGCGGATATGTCGGCTACATCTTCCGCTGCCAGAACGACAAGATCGCCGAGGACGTGATCAACAGTGCGTGACGCGTCAGCCTGTAATGGGAGTGTCCCGAGATACGAACAGGACTTTTGTTGTGCGTGAAGCTCCTGGACCCACAGACCCACGGGAAACTGTGGCGCAGCTTTTTTGTTGTCGGGTCATGGTCTTTGACCCTAAGGCTCGTGCTTCCTAATGCGAAAACGAAGCCGTCAGATGTACATTACCGACCACATTAGTCTCAGCTCGAAAATCCACCTACTTAGACGCGCGCTGGTTTGGCCTTTTGTAGAGTGTTGGACTCATACGCAGCACCCCCCTTCCCCCCGCCCCCACCTTCATGCATACCACAGCACCCAGACTGCGTCGATGGCTAGGGTCTCAGCGCGTCTGCCTCTCAAAGTGTATTGCCTCCTTCCACAGCGTTGACGCAGGCGTTCCGCAGCGCGTACGACGTGATCCGCCAGAGCAAGCGGCACAACCAGCAGCACTGCGACTACTGCCCGGCCAGCTGGTTCAACAAGCTGTGCGCCGAGCTGGACGGTCAGTCGGCCTACCGCGCGCCCCAATGGCGGCGCACCGGCGGCGGGCGACGGTGCGGCGCGCGGATGTTGGACATTGAGACGTGGTGTCGCAGTGCCCAGTTTCCTAATCTGTGCGGTCGTGCTGTGCTAGTTAGAGTCAGTGTTGGTGTGACAGGCCAAGGTGTGCGCCATGTGGCCATGCTATTAGATGACATGAACTGTGCCTGCAGAGATTTGCAGGACTACACCTTTGCCTAAGTCACCATTCTGCCCTTTACGTGCGCATATCACCATTGATCTATAGTGTTAAAGTTTATTATTTTGCGTATTTCGCCTACCACGACGTCCGTTTCAATATTCACGGATGGCACAGCGTCCCGACCCCAGATTGCAGCAGCTCGCTTCACAACTGCCTTGCCGACGTGTGTTGAGTTTAGGAGTACGTTCAGGCTGTGTGGTCCCGCTCCGGTGGTCCTTTGACGGCGGCCCAGCCCGGGGTCCGGCAGGAGGTGCTCCCTCTCCCCGAGGCCGAGGCTGCAGGTCGTCTGACTGACCGGCCACCGTCCACGCCGCCGCAGGCCTCGGCCCAGAGGCGATTCAGGCCGTGATTGTGCGCGCGCTCGAGTGCCTGCCGGCCGAGGAGCGGCGCGAGCTGCTGCTCAAGCTGAGCGGTGCGGAGGCCGTCGACGCCGCCGAGCAGAACGAGCTGCTCATGTCGCTGCTGCGCTTCCTCTGCGACGAGAAGCAGCGCAAGCACACGCACGTGCCGGCCGGCCAGCTGCCGCCGCTCGGGTGAGCCCCACCGGCGGACGGTGTGTCAGCTGCAGACAACGGCAGCCGGCCGGCTCCGGGCCGCGAGCGACACAAGCGGTCCTGAATCGTCGTGGCCGCTGCTGTCGCTGGCGCACCCTCCGGCCGGCCGGACTCGTCTCGTAGTCCTTCGTTCGAGGCACCGGGCGTGTTTCCCCGTTATCAGCGGGCGGGTCACGTGACTGCCACAGACTAACCGGAGCGAGCTGAAGGCTGCCCGTGTTCAAAGCCAGACCCACTGCGGCCTTGGCGAAGGATGTCAAACGAAACGCCTGCGCTCCCGAATTGGGAGTGTTCCAGCGCCGCGCTCAGTTGTGTTAGGCAAGTGCATGTGAGATCAGGAACTGCTCCTTGCAGTGAGAAAACAGTCCATCCAATCTGGTGCAGTTTATCAATGCTCGTTAGATTGTTGACGACATATGTTGCTTGTCTGGACGCGCTCCGGGGCAGCCCTTCCCCATGGTCTGGGGACCCGTCTTAAGCCGCCCTCCTGCGCCGTTGCAGCCACGACAGCTCCAACCTTCTCTTCGACCTCAGCTCAGGTTTGAACAAGGCGAAGCGGTCGCTGACCTCGCGGCTGGAGCAGGTGTGGAAGTACAACCGGGGCCGAGAGGAAACGAAGGAGAACAGCCAACCGGAGCATTTGGTGCTCCATCAGGTATAACAGCCAACCGGAGCATTTGGTACGCCATCAGGTGTAGCTGCCAGCCGGAGCATCTGGTGCTCCATGAGTTAAAAATACCAACCGGAGCATCTGGTGCTCCATCAGGGATAAATTTCAGCCAGAGCATCTGGTGCTCCATCAGGGATAACTGCCAGCCGGAGCATCTGGTGCTCCATCAGGAATAACTGCCAGCCGGAGCATCTGGTGCTCCATCAGGGATAACTGCCAGCCGAAGCACCTGGTGCTCCATCAGGGATAAATGCCGGCCGGAGCATCTGGTGATCCATCAGAGATAACTGCCAGCCGGAGAGTCCGGTGCTCCATCCGGGATAACTTCTACCATTGCAGGGGCAGGTGGCGTTCAGGTTTCCTTTTGGGGCTCAAATCGTGTAGGAAAGTCGATGATTTGTTGTGCATTTAGTGACGATTATGTGTGGGACTCAATACTTCAAGTGATTTTATAGCGAAAGCAATGCTTACTTCCTGGGTGGAACCTCCATGTCCCCGCGTTAGCTGTTGTTGCAGATTGCGGTGTCTGATTCTGAGCGCAAAATGTCAAGTATTTTCATGTCGGCCTCCTCACCAGTAATTATGTGTTATATTGGCGTCACTGGGTTTTATAATACATCATCTTCCATCCTGCATCATCCTCCAGTTACATCACTGTTGGAACACATCCGCTCGCCGCTCGTGGCTGCTGCAGGGCCCGGCTAGGCCACAGACCAAGCCGGGCCCTGTGACTGAAGCGTGCAACTAAACCGGGCCCTGTGGCTGGCGCGTATAGCCAAACCGGGCCCTGTGGCTGGCGCGTATAGCCAAACCGGGCCCTGTGACTGGCGCGTATAGCCAAACCGGGCCCTGTGACTGGCGCGTATAGCCAAACCGGGCCCTGTGACTGGCGCGTATAGCCAAACCGGGCCCTGTGACTGGCGCGTATAGCCAAACCGGGCCCTGTGGCTGGCGCGTATAGCCAAACCGGGCCCTGTGGCTGGCGCGTATAGCCAAACCGGGCCCTGTGGCTGGCGCGTATAGCCAAACCGGGCCCTGTGACTGGCGCGTATAGCCAAACCGGGCCCTGTGGCTGGCGCGTATAGCCAAACCGGGCCCTGTGGCTGGCGCGTGTAACCAAGCCAGGCCCTGTGGCTGGAGTGTGTAGCCAAGCCGGGCCCTGTGGCTGGCGCGTGACTGACCGGTGTCGGTGCCGGTGGCGCAGCACTCCGCCAGCACCACGCCGGAAGGCTCGCCCTGCCCGACGCCCACCAAGGCCGAGTTCCGGTACGAGTACCCGGCCGACTCGCCGGTCGCCTCCCGACCGCGCAGCTCCACCATCGGTGAGTCATGACTCAGCGCGGTCGAGTCAGGGATCCGCCATTGGTCATCTACGGCTGCACTGATGGCGAGGGATGGGTGCAGTGGTGGTGACTGTCACGCTCCGCTGTTGAAGAGCAGTCTTCACCATTCGTTAGCGTGACAGATCCGCCAATGGTCAGCTGCTGTTACTGTTACGTTGATGCAAGGTGCCGTCGCGTCATGCCCCACCGTCCGACGTCCACGGCCTGGTGACGAGTGTTCTTTGACGTTTCAGCGGGCAGCTCTGGCGAGGGGTATCGGCGGGAGTACCGCACGAGGAACCTGAACCAGGCGGCCCGCACCGACAGTCCCATGGTGGCCATGTAAGACCGCCTCAGTCGGACGGGGCGTGCGGGGACACCACACCTATTGCTCACCTGACAGCCTCAGTTCTTGTCTCGTTGCGATAGGGCTGTTCATTCTTTCTGGCATTTTGTTTAACGACTTCAATAGCCCCGCAGTGCATCACCATGAACTCTCACACACCTTAAGTCTCGTAGCGCCCTCTTCCAATAAGTTCTGGGTTCTGTTCAAAGTTCTATCCTGTAAAGCAAAGTCCCATACTTTATTGCTGATAGTTCGCCTATAATGCCGAAACTGCTGGTGAAACATTACTCTACGAAATCACAATTACACCTCCTGCCGACCGATGGGCTCTGCACCTAGGGTATTAACCTCCCCGTGTCAGCCTCCGCATCATGTGTTGGTCTCATGAGTCACATCACGTTCGGAGTTCTTCATTGCTTTCGGGCTGCGTGGGACGCGCGGTTGTGCCACGCCGCCATGGGTGGGGCAGTGGACGTCGGCCGACGCGTACGGTCACGTGGTATCCCCCCTCCCTTACCGTGCCCTTAACTGTCCCGCAGCTTCAAGCGGATGGGCAACAGCCCGCGCGCCGCCGACACTGGCCGGCCGGGCGGCGACGGTACGCCCCGGCACGCCAACGCCTCCTGGCGGCAGGCCATCTTCAACAGGATCCGCACTCCAGGTCAGTCCCGCGCCGCACCGCCCGCCGCTGGGTGGGTCACGGCCCGCTGTCGCTGGTCCTCCGCCGGTCCGCTGCCGGTCCTCTGCCGGTCCGCTGCTGGCTCTCCACTGGTCCGCTGCTGAACCGTCGCCGGTCCGCTGCTGGCCCTCCACCGGCGCGCGAGTGGCCAGCCTCCGGTCGGCGGCTTGCCCGTCACGTGTCCGCGACTGGTCTGCCGCTGGTCTTCTGGTCCGGCACTGATCCAATACCGGTCTACGAATAATGTGCTCCGCTGCTGGTCTGCCGCCGACGTCCGCTCAGCGCGCTGGTGGTTTATAAATCGTTCCTGCACTGATCTGCCTCTGGTACACGTCGGGACACTGGCGGTCTGTTACTGCGCCGCTCGAAGTCCTCCGCGTGGACTCCAGGCGGTCTGGGTTCACGCGCGGCCAGGCCACGCTCGTTCACTTAAACAGTGTTGCAACAGGGCGTCCGGAACAGTGCGTCGATTCATACCTTCCATGTCTTCCTTCCACTTTTCCTCGTGACAATTGCTGTTCTTATCGGCTTGGCTGGGTATCACGGGTCTTTCCCATCCCCATCAATGCCCACAAGTGGTGTGTTTTGCACATATTGTCCTCACAGGGATTGCACAGGGTTCCGGCTGTTCGTGTTCTAGGAGACAGCATCTATACAATGCTCAGACAGGCACGAAGGGCTGAGGTGCTTGCGATATACGCGTGTTCAAAAACACCATAACACCGTAACACCCTAACACCGTAACGATGTCAGTTATCGAATGCTGATCTCTTGAACTTTGAATCCCTTTGAGATCATCGTTAACGCTAGATGGATGGGAGTGTTGGCGGTTTGTCGCCGTCACTAGCCAATACACTGTCGCTGCTGTGAGAGCCGTGAGGGTGAGCGATGAACTGTGAAAGAATGGTGATGCCCCCTCTGAGCCTTGAGGGCAGGTAGGAAGACGTACAGAGGGAAGACGTTTATGATAGAGGGCGGACGTCCCTGTCACTGATACTCATTAGTCTTCTCCGCGTTCTTCTGCGATGCTCGCGGCTGAGTCATGACATGCTTTTTGGTGAAGAGTGATCGGGAAACTGCAAAGGCTCGTAAATTCTGCCAATGATCATCAATTTTACAAAAATAATGGAATCCAAAATGTGATGCATGCTGTGCGAAGGCATCTTGGGTTTACGCGGCGGATGGCGACTGTGTTTTCTCAGTCATAGCCATGTCGCAACAACACGCTGTGTGACGCCGCGGTTAGAAAGCTTCAAGTTAGACACCGCTCAGATTCGCGAGTTAATGTGAATGACAGGTGTAACGGATCTGCTGTTTACGTGCAATCCATCTAAACGTCACCGCATTATTTGTGCTGTCATCTATTAAGTGCATTATTTTATGCGTTTCAAGGCCTTGGTTAGCCACGTAGACCGCTACCGCTTTAAGTTGTTGGGCGTCCCGGTGCGCTGCGCCAGTGAAGCCCGCGGTATCGGCCCTGACTACTCGGGCCATGGAGCATCGGCCTCGGAGCTGCTCTCCATGCGGTTGTCAACTCGCCAGCAGACAGCGTATCCCTGACTACTCGGGCTATGGGGCATCGGCCTCGGAGCTGCTCTCCATGCGGTTGTCAACTCGCCAGCAGACAGCGTATCCCTGACTACTCGGGCTATGGGGCATCGGCCTCGGAGCTGCTCTCCATGCGGTTGTCAACTCGCCAGCAGACAGCGTATCCCTGACTACTCGGGCTATGGGGCATCGGCCTCGGAGCTGCTCTCCATGCGGTTGTCAACTCACCAGGAGACAGCGTATCCCTGACTACTCGGGCTATGGGGCATCGGCCTCGGAGCTGCTCTCCATGCGGTTGTCAACTCGCCAGCAGACAGCGTATCCCTGACTACTCGGGCTATGGAGCATCGGCCTCGGAGCTGCTCTCCATGCGGTTGTCAACTCGCCAGCAGACAGCGTATCCCTGACTACTCGGGCTATGGAGCATCGGCCTCGGAGCTGCTCTCCATGCGGTTGTCAACTCGCCAGCAGACAGCGTATCCCTGACTACTCGGGCTATGGGGCATCGGCCTCGGAGCTGCTCTCCATGCGGTTGTCAACTCGCCAGCAGACAGCGTATCCCTGACTACTCGGGCTATGGGGCATCGGCCTCGGAGCTGCTCTCCATGCGGTTGTCAACTCGCCAGCAGACAGCGTATCCCTGACTACTCGGGCTATGGGGCATCGGCCTCGGAGCTGCTCTCCATGCGGTTGTCAACTCACCAGGAGACAGCGTATCCCTGACTACTCGGGCTATGGGGCATCGGCCTCGGAGCTGCTCTCCATGCGGTTGTCAACTCACCAGGAGACAGCGTATCCCTGACTACTCGGGCTATGGGGCATCGGCCTCGGAGCTGCTCTCCATGCGGTTGTCAACTCACCAGGAGACAGCGCATGCGACGGTGTAGCTGCCGCCAATGTCAGCACGTCACACAGAACGTCTAGGGTCGTGTAAGCGGGGTCGAGTAACTGACGAGTGATTTAAAGGTACTGCAGTAATCTGCACGAAGTTTTTTTTCTCCCGGTAGCTTTTGGGTTTCGGAGTTCACATTGCCATCCAGTTGGGATATGGAGAAAGTGACGGCCCCTTGCAGAGCTCCACTATTTTTTATGTGCCTTTTTATTCACATTTTGAACACCTCCAACATATAAATACATTAACACAGGCAGGCAAACCTTGTATGGAAATCAGAGGATCCTACCGTGTTGCATATGGAACGATAGCACCAGGAGATCTGTTGCGCCATGGATACCAATGGGAAGTAAGATAGTTACGACTTAGTTGTAGCCGGCAGTCGCAGCGTAGGCAGGGGCGGGCTTGTAGGGAGGGGCGGGGTGGTACTGGGGGTACGTCGCCTCGCCCTGGTACGTGACATCAGCGACGTAGCCAGAGTAGGCATCACCAACGGTGTAGGTCACCGTCTGGGTGCGGCCGTCGGGAAGAACAACGGAGTAAGAGCCCTGGGTGCTGTAGCCATCGCGACCCTCCTGGGCGTTGAACTGCGGCTCGTAGTCTCCGTAGCCGTGCACGTCGTAGCTGAAGTCGTACTTGGCCGGCTGGTCGTAGCTCTGCTGGTGAGCTGGGGCGTAGCTGGGCTTGTGGTAGGCCGGGGCCGGGGCGTAGGTGGGCTGGTGGTAGGCCGGGGCGGCAGTGCTGTACGGCGCGTTGTCGGCGGCAGCAACGGCCAGCAGGGCGGTGACGAAGAAGACCTGGCGAAAATAAATTAGTGTAGTAGTGGTAACAGTCAACACTGTGCTGCAATGCATTTTCGCCTGCATTGTTGTACATGCGCTGCGATATATACTCGCTTTCACTTTCTTCGGTATGCTCCTAATACATCGGTGCCTCTTACCTTCATGATGGAGCTGTGAGATCCTTGGCGATCTGTGAACGTCTGATGCTTGTTGGTGGCGGTGCTGGTGTTTTATAGTCGCCGGCCGCCGTCCACTACCGCTGGTGACCCTGCCCGGGGCGTCAGGCGGGGAGGGGTGTGACCGGTCGGCCTGTGTCCAGGCGTATGGGAGAGGCTGGGGATACCTCTCCTTGCACTGATTCTCAGACTTACGACATCGCGGTGGTTAAGCAGTAGTCCTGAGGTCTCTGGACAACCGGAGATTGGAGCGAACCGTATTATAACGCATACGAGTGTGTGTGCTGGCTGTTCTGATCATTAAGGTGCTGTGCTTATGGAACGTAAGTTAGACCAAGCACCATTGCGCGGTGTGCATACACCCATGTCGGATATCGGTTGCGTCAGGTGTCATGTGCCGTGTCGTGGCACCTGCCCTGTCCTTGTCCAGCCAAGTCTTATTTGGCTCTTTATACAATCTTGCTATGAGGTCTGCTTTGTGCATACATTTTATAGCACAATGAAGCCATTTTAGTGGTTCGGGACAACAATTAATGGTGACTATACGGCACTGCACAACTTTTAATGCATTCTCAACGACTAATGCTCCATGTTCCCAATCATGTAGCATTCACTAGTCATCCCGTGAAATCCGTTTTCACCATGCACCGACTTGTTCTGTGGTAAGCGACCCTGTTTTTTAGGTCGGTGTTTTCCCATGTCGCGCTGTATCCGCCGTCGCCGAGTCACAATACATAGGCCGCAGAGATGGGTACACGTGCAAGGCCACATTTGTTTTTCTCCTGTACTAGCGCTGCAGCGCGAAAGAAGGTAGGCTTTTCAAGGATGCAGAGAAAAGCTCAGATGGTTATATGTTGCGATCGTTTAGTGGCGTGACTTCGAAACCTCCAAAACTGTGTATCGCCTTGTCTCCTGAAACAACGCAACGTATGTTCACTGCATTCCTTACAGTGCAGATCAGTATTTTTTTTTTGTTCACGTTCAGCGGGATGATCTTAGCCCCGCCAGTGATCCTCTTATCAGGTCTGTCATGATCTCATTAGTATTCCACGTTACCAAATCTCAGTCGTACGCTGCACATTGCTTCCAGCGCCTTTCGAACAGCCTTTGTCGGGTTTGTTACCCTTTGGTTCGGGATTGGCTGACAGAGTGTGGGCTGGAGCTCCTCAAGCGCCTTTGAAACAGCTTTTGTCAGCTTTTGTATCCTATGATCTAGGATTGATTGCCAAAGTGTGATGGACCAGCTGAATCGTTCCCGGGTCTGTAGTTTTATTGAAGTCGGTTGGTCTCAAGCTGTGAACATCCACACATGGACCGTGAGCCTATGTACATCACGCAATACATGCAATGTTTAAAAAGTGAGGCATGGCCTCAACATACTAAATTTGTACTTATGTTTTACTAATCGGAAGACAAAACAATGACCAGAGGCTGAAAGCTTGTCTGTTTTTGGTCTCTTCACTTATGAGTGAAGAAATACATTATTTGACGTGTTAAAGATCATTCCTTTCTTTTCAATGTCGCCAATGCCATACCACCATCCGATGTTAAAACGAAAGATACCCCATGCGGGTCCGCATTGAA